GAGAGAGAGAGAGAGAGAGAGAGGGGGGGAAGGAGGGAGGGAGGCAGAGAGAGGGAGGGAGGGAGAGAGAGAGGGAGGGAGAGAGAGAGGGAGAGAGAGAGAAAGAGGGAGGGAGCGAGGGGCTGGGCCTCAAGTCACTCAGCCAGCTTGCGTGGCTGAAGTGGGACTAGAACTCATAATCTCCTGGTGATTGGCCCAAAGCCACCCAGCCAATTTTCATGCCTGCTTTCTTTCTTTCTTTCTTTCTTTCTTTCTTTCTTTCTTTCTTTTCTTCTTTCTTTCTTTTTCTTCCTTCCTCCCTCCCTCCCTCTCTTCCTTTTCTTTCACCTTTTTTGCAAAACTATCTAGCTGTAAAATCCCTTCTTTCTTTCTCTCTCCCTTCATCCACAGAAAGGGAGGAAGGAAGGAAGGAAAGAGGGAAATGATGGAGGGGGGAGATGAGAGGAAGAAAAGAGATGAGAGGGAGGGAGGAAAGGAAGGAAGGAAAGAAGGAAGGAGATGGGAAATAAGGAGGGGGTGGAGATAAGAGGGAGGGAAGAAGGAAGGAAGGAAAGAAGGAAGGAGATGGGAAATGAGGGAGGGAGGAGATGAGAGGGAGGGAGGAAGGAAGGAAGGAAAGAAGGAAAGAAGGAAAGAAGGAAGGAGATGGAAAATAAGGGAGGAGATGGGAGGAAGGAAGGAGATGAGAGGGAAGGGGGGAGGGAAGGAAGGAGATGGGAAATAAGGAGGGAAGAGATGAGAGGAGGAAAGGAGATGAGAGGGAGGGAGGAAAGAAAGAAGGAAGGAAGGAGATGGAAAATGAGGGAGGAGACTGGCGGAAAAAAGGAGTTGAGAGGAAAGGAGAGAGGGAGGAAAGAAGGAAGGCATTAATTCCCACGTATCTCCTTTTTTCCAAATCCCCCCCCCCCAAATTAAAACCCAGAGAAATGGGGTCCAGGGCTGCTTCCAGGGGGGGCGGGGGGCTCACGTACGTCTCGTAGAGGCTCTGTCCTCTCAGGAACACCTTGACTTCCTTGTTGAGTGGGAAGGTCCCATCATCCTTGCGGAAGCGATAGAGGAGCTTAGCGTCCTTGTAGTCCGAATGTTCGTCACAGACTGGAAAGCATGGAAGACAATTCTTAGGCCCTTCCGAGGCCCCACTCAGGCCCTTCGCTCCCCCCAAAGGCAGCCTGGCCTCCCAGAGACAAAAATGCAAGGTTACATTTGGGAAAATACAGGGAGTCCTCGACTTACAAGTTCATTTAGCTACCGTTGGACGTTACAACAGCACTGGAAAAAATGTCTTATGACCATTTTTCACACTTATGACCATTGCAGTTACCCCCATGGTCACGCGATCAAAATTTAAGCACTTGGCAACTGAACTCATATTTATGACGGTCACAGTGTCCTGGGGTCACGTGATCCCCTTTTGCCACCTTCTGACAAGCAAAGGCAAGGGGGAAACCAGAGTCACTTAACAACTGGGTTACTGACTTAGTAAATGCAATGCTTCACTTAACAACTGTGGCAAGAAAAGTCGTAAAATGGGGCAAAACTCACTTCACAACCATCTCACTTAGCAGAAATTTTGAGCTCAATTGTGGCCATAAGTCAAGGACTACCTCTGTCTCTGTCTCTCTGTCTGTCTCTCTGTCTGTCTGTCTCTCTCTCTCTCTCTGCATCATCAGACAGACAGACAGACATGAGTGAGATAGATGATATAGACACAGATGATAGATAGATAGAGAGAGAGAGAGATAGAAAGAAAGAAGGAGAGATAGATGATAGATAGATAGATAGATAGATAGATAGATAGATAGATAATAGATAGATAGATAGATAGATAGATAGATAGATAGATGGATAGACCGTCAGACAGACAGACAGAGATGATATATATAGAGAGATGATTAAGATAGATGATAGCTATAGATAGACAGACAGACAGAGACAGATTATAGATAGATAGATAGATAGATAGATAATAGATAGATAGATAGATAGATAGATAGATAGATAGATAGATAGACAGACAGACAGACAGACAGACAGACAAAACGGAAAGACAGACAGACAG